GCCTTGAATTACGGCTTTACATTGAAACCAACAGTGATTCCCTTGTTAAACTTACTGCAATACGACCTCATTCACCTTTTTTTCGATTTTGGTAATTTGGAATAGTTTATGAGGACTTTGCTTGATAGCTTTTATGCTATCGTGTTTATGTTCCTTGAATATGCTTCGGCAAGCCCAGAAATTGGCCCCTGTTCAAACATCGATGACTCATTCCTCTTTTCCTCTTATATTCATCGCTTTTCTCATTCTTCTTCCCCAGTTATTTTCCAGTCCCAGTTTTGCTATGCGTCAACCCTCGGCGGCTATATCAGCCTTTTTCGACGCTTCCAACAATGGTAGTGGAGGTGGCAGCGGCAACAGTGCAATCGATCGCTCCGGTCGCTCCTCTCCATCTGCCAGCGAAGCGGGCGAGGAGGCAGCAGTGGTCGGGCCCATGAATGAAGATGAAGGGCTAATGGCAGAGATTGGCTGCTGCTCTCCTAACTGGGATCCCTTTGCACTCTCCAGCTCCCAATCCAGCGATGCGGAATCTACTGGGCTCCCCGTAAACCCTGCCATTGGCAGCGTTGGTGTTGATGCTGATGGAATTGCAGTGGCGAGGAACAACGTCATGTCTATGTCTTGCAGTCCTGTCCTCACAGCCACGCTGATCACCTCCAACGTCAATGGCGAGGTTAGTGGTTGTTCTGAGGTCTTTCTAGCACATTTTCACCTTTTCCCGAGGGAATAACGCGATTTGAGTATTCAGATTGAAAGTAACTTTTGGATTCTTTTGGCGTTATTTCTACTGCTAAAAGTGTTGAGCTTTGAGATTCTCAAAACTTGGGTTGTCTAATTAGTTCGTTTCTTAGCATAGGAAACATTTAGGAGACTAGAATCGTTCATCATCCCATAAAGAAATGATATCCTATCACAACAGCGCGTGTCAATCGATTTGTGCTGCACATAAATTTACTTAAGCACATCAGCTTGTAAGTGCTTCGTTCTATTGCACTATGATTCATGCATACGAATCAGTACATTTCTTACCTTTTAGCATTATTTATGGGCTACATTTTAAGTAGTGCCATTTTTATAGGAAATTGTGTTTCTGCAAGATACCTTTTTGTTCTCATCGTTATTTTTTATCGTTTCTTATTCTGTCCCATCAACTACGTTGACTTCTATAGATTGGTGCCGTTCACATGGGCTATAGTTGGTTGTTCTTGGCAATTCACTGAAGTTAATAACTCTTGCCATAGTAAATCTTCATATGCATAGTAGTTATAATCCAAAATGACTTCCTCATCCTTCTCTCTAGTGCGACAATAGGCCCAGAGCAGCCAGGATGGGTCAGGAGCCCTTCCGTGATCCTGCAGGAACACCCACACCTCCCACCATCCCTAAGTTTGGCAGCCCCCTTAATGGAGGCTGTGCCGACGACGATCCCGCCGCAACTCCCACCTCAGAAACCGCTCCCTCTACTGCTCCTTGTACTGGCGTGTCGAACCACACGCCAAGTGAAGAACGGTGGGTAGCGAGGCAGGCGCCTCTTGCCTCGCAGGACGATTTTGCTGTCTCGTTTCTGGAGGACAGTACCAGTACTGGCAGCAGCAGCACCATCCGAAAAGAGAAGCGCTTTAAACAAACTACCGCCCCTCTCTCCATCCCACCCTTTACCACCAGTCTCACTATAGTTCATCCCTCTGGTGAGCTTTGAGATTGCCGTTAATAGGTGCCAATCTTTTTAAGAACGGTAAATCTTTGGACTGGCTTGCTCACACTTTTGGTCAATTATGACTGTTTTCCAAACTTCATTGATTGTTAGTTTCTGTTTTTGAATAATGTACTTGCCCTTTTGAGTCGATGTCATGGAGTGGATTGACATTAACTGGCAAAGAAGCCTCGCGAGCATAATTATAGTTTTCTAGGTGTTCTTTACGCTTGAAACGTTGCCTTAATAGCCACGCCTTGTGATTAATCACTACTAACTAAGCTATGATTTGAATAACCAAGTAAATGGCTTTGAATGTGAACCTTAAAGCAGCCTTCCCGTCTGATGTATGACTGGTGCAAACGTATTGTGTTAGTCGACTCCTCTGTTTATACTTATCCTTTTCACCTGTCTAATTATCCATGATTTCATTCCATTTGGTTCTTTCATTCTGCATTTCTTACCGCTGACAAATTGATAAGTCTAGTCCAAGTTGGGGTTTTAAAATACTTTCACTGACAAGAAGCGGTTTGCGGTTCGTTTCACTTGCTAATAATAGAAATCACTTGCCCAATCGACCTTTACTAAGTTCCAATCGTTTGGCATTACTTACTGCACTTGTTATTTCAGGAAAGAGTCACTCACTCAGCGTTCGATTCTGGAATGTGAATAGTCTTACTTACGTGTTTGCTTTCCGCACACATGCAGATCTTATTCCCTCATGGGCATTAAATCGCCCTACTGGCCCATCTATCCAATTGGGTCCCCATCAGACGGCTGGAGGGTTGCAGCATCCAAAGGACGACCCGCAGCCAGACAAGTTTTACTGTACTGGTGAAGCCTTTGCTTCTCATGCATCTCCAACTTCTTCTCGCCTGTGCTCTCAAGTTCTTCAGTCACCACTCACTCAGGTGGAGTCGGATCTAACAAAAACCCAAGTTGACGAGGCTCTGAGGGATAGTGATTCTGACATCGACAAGAGCAATGCCAACAGCCACATAGGTGATGAAGACCCCAGCGACGATGAAATTGATAAAGATGACTATGATGATGGCGACGACGAAGAAGCGGTGGATTTGGATTTGGACAGCCTCTGGATGACCATTGATCAACTGATTAGCCATGTGACTGAACTGGGTTCAAGTGGCCTAACGGAGGAGTACTCGGCGATGTGCAGCATCAAGACGGATGATCCCTGCACTGCATTTCGGTAGGCGTCCTATTTATACTCTCAGGCCCTTAATCTCTTATTTCCTCTCCAATTGGCTGCGTGTCGGGGCTTAATCTTTGAGTAACTCATTCCGAAATCGTACCATTGCAAAATCCCAAATCTAATGCCACCCATTTTAGATTTACATTTACCTTTTTTGTTTTTAGTGGAATTTTAAAGAGATTGTCTTTAATTTAGCTTTCTGGGCCTATAAACCTGTGACTTATTTGAGAATTTTCGAGTTAGAAAGTGGGCGAAATTCACAGTTTAAGGTGTACTGTAAAAAGTCTTTCACGGATGACTTTTAGCTAATTTAGGGGTACGTTATCATGCGAATTCACTTCGATTCATCATCTTTGCTTTGTGACTTTAATACGTAAATGTGATGGCTTTTTACTCTAAACTAATATGGAGTACGGCTCATGAAAATACAGACACTGGCGAAAAGATGGTAAGACGTTTTACTTGACATTTGCTGCCCGACTATCGTAAGTGCTGTTGCTTTGGGCTTTTAATGATTCAAGGTGCATTTGCGCCGTCAAGCTGCGATCTGACAAATTCGCTGTGAATGGCGGAGTCGTTATTTTGGAATTGGTATTTTAATAAATATCACAGCTTATAAGCTAATGCTCTCATGATCATTCTTACCTGTCGATGCGGTTTTGGGGGAATTCCTTTCCACGTTTTAAACCACATTTAGTACACAGGCGCATTGCCAGGTCCGTTTTCTCTCAAAACCGCTGTGGTGCGCATGTGCTTGTTTTCGTTTAGTAACTTTTCATTTTTCTATATTTAACCGCACGTTTGCTTGCTATCATCACGTGTTTCGTTCTTCATGCCGCACCTACTACATACCTCTGTCGCCATGGCGATGGATTGGTAACGAGTACGGCATAATTTCGGTGGCTATTTAATTGATCCCAGCCATTTTGGCGAGACCAAATGAAAATTTTGCTTTCAAGTGGTTTTGTTAACTACTTAACTTGTGCGAAGCATTGGTGGCCATCCTTCACTCCAACCTGCGCAGGTAGCTGCTATAGTTTGCTTAAGTCAACTCAGATACTTTGAGTGATTGTGCTATGTATCCTACCCCACCATGCTATTCCAAATGCACGCGACCTTCACTTTTCGTAGTTAGTATTGTGGTTTTGGACTGATAGCGACCTAAAAATTGGTAGCTCAGTGGCTGTTTTAGGTTAAAATTAAGTCATTCAAGTTTGAAATTGTATCATCGATGGGTCTGTTGTCATCAGTTTCTTGATCTTTGAATTAATCAACAGGCATGGGAAAAGGGAAGTGACTGGCACTGTCCACATTGTGGAATCACGTATTAGAGGGGTCTTTGGGTCTTTCCTTGGCTTCGACAATGTCAACTCTGATTCTTTAATGCTGTTTAGAAGTACGTATTGATATTGTTAGAGGAGAGGATAAGTAATTGGTGATTTCAGAGAGC